TCACTACTGTGAAAAAGGGAGAAGAGGAATCCAACTGTTCTCTGTCTGCACTTAATTGTTACAGTATACATGACTACACACTTACAGGTATAGTAATTAAACACTCATAAATTCTGTTTTGAAGGTCAAAAGTTTCTAAAACTGTCATATTTTTTGATTGTGACTTACAGCAGCAGAGTTCAGTTCTCCTCAAGTCAGGAGAAGCTGCCAAATGTATCCACGCTTCAATAAGTACAAAGTACGCTTTGGAGGAATTCCTGGATTTGCGTTATCATAAAACATCAGTCAAACTCTAATCACCTCTCATTACCGCACAAGCAGTAGCTTTTGTGGGTTAGGTAAGCCAGTTCCAGTCCTTCTCACCTCTTCTGTTCAAAATTTACATAATGGATCAGACCTTTCTGTGACTCTTAGCTTTCATTTCTGCTTTCCTTTCCTCTTTCTTCATCAGGTCACATTCCCAATGTTTTTTCATAATTCACTGCAACTTTTTGTTCATGCAAATGGATTTTATATTAGGCCTCCATGAAATTGGTGTGTGTGTTTGCATACATAAGCATATAAGCACACACACATATTTATATACACAAGTAGGTAGTGAGATCACCTTAGCTTCTCTTTGCACCTCATAGTGACAGTCCTGCTAATAAGCTGTCTATGCAATCCAATATTCCCTGTGGCAGAGCATGACTTTGTAACTGTTTAGCACCTAAGGGATAACTGCTGTGTTTGCATATGGGCCAGTTGACTTGCTGATTCTTTTTTGGATGTTTTTGCTATCAAATCTTTATATTTTCCACCATCAACAAAAGCTCAGCTCAGTTAGAGTAACACTGGAAAAGTAACACTGTCATTTAATGTAGTGGAGTAAAGGTTTCTTACAAAATGCAACGAATTGGGCCCAAGATTTTTCTAGGGAAAAATAATTTAAAAATTGCATTCAGATGGCCATTTTTTTGTGCTTTGATAAACCCTATCTTCCATTTGGGTCTGCTTGCCACTCAAAACAAAACTTTCAAAATTCAGCTTGCGTTTTGACAAGAAGAAACAATGCTCAGACATACTCAACGGGGCTACTTGCTTGTATGCTGATGTAGTTTTTCAAAAGACAAGAACACAACTAGTGCTTTATAGAAATCCTCTCATTTTTTGATGAAGCCAGTGGTGTGCGAGTCTTTAGACTGGGCTTTTTGTGGTGCTGAGCTGCTGATGCTTCATGGTAGATCAAGCCATGTTTGCTATTTAAAACTAGCTATCCAGCTTTTAGTCTTGGCTCTCTGCCTCTCTCTTGCAGAAAACCTGCAAATGCATACACAGAGATACACAGCTGTAAGAGTCAAACCCAGTTTCATAACTCTTCCATTTCCAAATAAGCCTCCCAAATTATGATGTGATACACTCCTCCTGTAGGCAAGGGATACTCAAAAGTGTTTAGTCAGTTCTTAGGATGTCTAGGTCTGCATAGTTTACTGTACTCCCATGGGCTTTTCTTCCTCTAGGAACTGCAGAACTGAGGATTTGAAGAGAGCATGAAGGAAATGAATTGACCACCAATTCCCTTCTTTTACTCCATCGCTAATTTGCAAGATGATCCATCATGAAAGTAACATTTGAAATTCAATATATACGGTACACATTCCCAGCATTTTCTGAAATGTGACCCAGTTTTAATTAAAATGTGAAGCGCGTACACTGAAGGACTTGCTTCTCTGCCAGGAGCAACAGCCTTGTGCAACTTTCCCACCATGGACATCATATGTCAACTGAAAAAATACTTTGCTTTGTTCTTTCATTGAAATTTCTCCAACTTTATTAGATTTGGAAACATAATGTAGTAGTAGAGGGCAACATTATGTCTGATATATATATATAATTAGTTTGCAAAAAAAATATAACCAGGGGACACATTTTTGAATCACTGCTTCACACAATAGTTGGAGAATAATGGATCACATTGACTGATCCTTCTTGCTGAATGCTATGACAAAGTAAATGAGCATTTGTATAAAATTGCCGTAACAGTTGAAGCTTGAATTAGAGAGTCTGTAACCTTTGTTTGTGATCATAAATTACAGAGAAACCCTGCAGGCAAGAATGTAACATTAAAAAAGGAAAAAAAAAAAAACAAAAAACATCCAAAGCTAAGAGATACAACCCATCAAATACTGAAAAATGCATTATATGGTGTACCTAACATTAATCACTTAAGATCCTATAGTACAAATTGCCTCCAGCAGTTTCTAAAGTTATCTCACAGGTTAAATGGACACCCACAGGTGGAGATTAGTCATTTAAAAGACAAAGGTATAAAACCTGATGGAAAGTACTAAAGCTGTCTTACAGTCAGTTTCTCTTTCGTTTTGAAGCTATCCCCACTGTTTCTGGGTGAAGGGCTAATACCAGAGGCAAGCCACGGAATCTGGCAGTATATGAGGCTTTTTCCATTTTATAACTTAAAGGAAATTAGGGCAAAAAGATTTTACTCTTTCAGATCCAATAACTTCAGTAGTAACTTCTAACAGCTGTGCATCAGTGAGTTCTTAAAACTATCTGAATTTTAATCACTTATGCCCTCTTAGTCACTAAAATAGTGGTATGTCATCTCGGGGGTGGAATCGGCACTAAATGCCATGAGCACCTGAGAGATGTCATGTGTGGCGTTGAGCCCTTTTTGTCTGTAACCCAGCTGAAGATTGAAAAGTCAGATTCTACAAGCGATGAGTGCCTCCTGCCTGAGCAATGTATTCTCTTAGCCCTTTCATTTGCTGCCTGGATGAAAAAACAGGTAATTTGGAGCTCACAGGGGGGAGGGAATGAGGAGGAATTCTGCAAGGAAATTTGCTTATTTGCAGGTTTCACTGAAGGCAGTGAGAGCTGTAGAGTCCAAAACTTCTGGGAAAAAATAAAAAACCAAGAGAACTGATTCATCTTTTCTTAAGAAAGCAGACTTTCTGATTTACCTAAAGTCTATTTTAGTTATTGTATTAATATTTCACAATGGCTTGGAGCTGATTACCTTTTTTTTTTCCCTCCTTTGACACACCAAGCACTTCAGTCTCCACAATCAAAATGAAGAAACTTTCATATATTTATGACAGGCTTGGCAGAAATCTGAACTTGGCAGAAATCACACCAAAGCAGGAAGGCACTATCATGCCTGTGAATGGTAATTGTGAAGAGGCAGAGGTACCAAGAGTAGCATGCCTGCAGTACCTTAAAACAACCTGATGCAAAAGTCACTGCTGTACCTCTTGCAGTGTTCAGGCAGTAATATTCCCCAGAGTTACTAATGCTTTGAGCAGCGCTGTGACCAATCACTTAACCCTCATGTCCTATTCGCAGGAAAAACAATACCCCCTACTTCCATATTCCCGTTTAATGAAACACTGCAGAAAGTGTGCAATGTCAGCACACAGCAGTTTGTATGTTCATGAACAAAGAATATTTTTAGCCCCTAAGCAAAATAGTTGTCTCTTGGGTCACAGATCTTAATATTTAGCAGACTAGAAATAACCAGTGAATGCATATTCTATCCGATTTTTAACACTGACCAGATAAATGGTTGATGAACATAAGTTTTTGGAAGATGAATTCAAAGAGAGATGTAATTACAGCAAGCAGCATCTTAGAGCAGAAGCATATGCTAGGCACTTTGAAGGGCATGTGGGGTCCTGTCTCTCTGACTACTGAGACCAGACTCCAAACTAAGGTCCCTAAAATATGTGTCCAAAAGTAAATGTTGTAAGTCTCTTCTCCTTCTTCCTTTCCCCACCATAGTTTGTAGTCCTCCGTAGCTCGGAAACTAGAATCACAGGTCCCATGCTTGGACACTATCAGGTTGGTATGTGTGCCTGTGCAAGTGGGTATGCACAGGTAGGTAGATCAATACATGACTGACTTCTCGGAAAGGAAAGAAACAGAATCCCTGAAGAGCAACGAAGTCTACACTAAGATAAGTTTTTCCGTGAGTGAAGCTTGAAAGTTTAGCTCCTATTTTACAGCAAAGTTCAGGTCAGTCATTTTTACCAACTATGCAACTGATCCTCTCCATTTTCTCTTACTTTGTGAGAATAAGGCAGTCTTTTCTCCATGTATACACTGATTTTTTATTTTTTTTTTTTTAACCGACCTCTCATTTTTATTTTCCCCGGGTAAATGTCTGCTGGATTAATGCTTCAAGGAGAAGAATAGCTAATAGTAGAGAGCATAAATGTCTATGAAATTATAATATCTAAGAAAGCAAAGACATATAATATCCTAAAGTTGGTTTTCATCATGTGTAGAAAGCCTGGGATTGCCCAGTCTCATAAAACATCCAACTAATACAGTGACTGTACAGAATTAATAACCTCTCAAACAAAAGCCTACTGGTTTAAGAAGCTATACAAATTGTGCAAACTGCACCAACCACAGCACATTTCTGTCACTTGAATGGAAACTAAATAGTTGCAGGGCTGAAAAATACCACTTGATTTGGTTTGGGTGACCTTGTCGTGGCAGGATCTGCAAGTTGCATTAGGATGAAAACAGGAGACAGTTCACCTGTTAACATCATAAACTAAAGAGATTCAAAGCCTGCTTGGATTTTCAGATGCGAATGCCAGCATACAAAATCAGTCAGCACGCAGGATTGCATGTGCGCAGCAGACACATATCTGTGCTGTATTAGATGGCATTAGCAAAAATTAAACTAAGGAAAAGCGAACTCGAGGGGATGCTGCCACATGAAATCTCATCTACAGTCATGTTAATAAAACAAGTAAACATACTTGCAAGGCTGGTATCAACTAGAAAGGTTTTCATTCCTCAGCCCAACTTTAGGATAAAGCAGAAACAGAGTCCTCCTCTGTTCGAAATCCCAGTATTTCAAGTTCTCCAGCAGCACAAGAGAAGCTAATTAACGAAAACCAAAGGATGACGAAATGAAGCCAGATAAGCCATAAATATCTACATACATAAGCACACAGCAAACAAGATAATGAAAAGTTAGCTAAATTTACCGTTTTAATTATCCAAGTGGGCGGTTTGTTTGGGTTTGGGTTTTTTTTGGAAACGTCGGGAGCTGGTTTCACGAGGACTCGTCCACACGCATCCGCACCGCGGCAGGCGCCGGCCCCCGAGCGCGGAGAGCAAAGCGCTGCCCTCCGCAGCCGCCGCTCCCCCGCCAAAAATGAAAAAGAAGAAAACACCATCAGAGGAGGGGAGGGGAGGCACCACCCGGCCGGGCAAACTCTAGCGCCGCCCCGACAGCGCCTTTGCCTGGAGGGCTGCGGCCGCCACGGCTC